TTTTTCAAACTCAATAATGCAATACATCTGTAAAATACCAAATTCGGTTTATTATACTTTATTATTTTGTTACATTCTATTTTTTACCTTTTTCTAAAACATCTTATCAAATAAAGTACAATTTAAAAATGCATCACGTTCACAAAGTCACGACTGTCACTCACGAGAATCATGAAGATGGAGAAAACAGGAAACAACAATGACAATTGACAATATGACATTGCCAGAAATATACGAAAAAATAACGGAATTATGATGGATTCTAAGTGACGTCTATTCTATATCATCAATGTGACGTCAAATACACGTTACTGATTAGGATATTGTATTTCGGATAAATTAATACAAAAAAATTACGTCATAATGACGAGTCTGTATTGACGTCTAATTGACGTTACAAAAACGACGTCAAAGTAACGTCATTAATTGGGATAGTGACGTTTATGACGAGTAAACCCAAAAAATCACGTCATAATGACGGCACCTTGCTGCTTGGAGGATTAGAGCATGACTATTAATTTATTAATATTTGTGTATATTTATTAATATTTAAACGTTTGATGATAAATAAACCATTTACGTTTAATAAGTGAGATCACAGTTTTATATACAGGGTGTCCTATTAGTGCGAACTTGTTCAATATTTCAATTTGTGTTATAGACACGCAAACATGTTTTAAATAAAAGGCATATGGGTTTGAAAAATATATATTTCGATATATTTTTAAAATATTTTTGGATATACAGGGTGTTGCATTTTTGCCTGACAAATAAAAATGTATATTTTTTTAATATAAAACCCTGTATTTTATTTCATTTTTAAAATGGATTGGTAGTACTTTATTCAGTTCTAGATTTTTTTTAAACATTACAGGTTTGCCAGGCAATTAATTTTTTAATGAAATTAGAGCGTACCCCAAATTAAATTATCATAATGTACGTAGTTTTAAATTCTTTTTACAATTGTTTAATATACAGACTTAAAAGATACGAACTAACGAATAATGGTGTAAAAACTGGTTTATTTTATATAGAGTGTTTTAAAACATGTCTGAAATATGGCTAATTTTAAATTCAATTTACGCAATTTTTACAACTTTAATACCTTGTATACTATTTTAGCATAAAATTCCCTATACATTTACCTATCCAACGATACCAACATATTAGCCAATAGTACATATTCAGGGTGTCCCATCAGTGCGTAATTGATCGATAGCTCTTTTATTATTGGAAATACGAAGAAATTTTTAATAAGTTGTATGACCATATTCAACAATTATTCCTAAATAAACAAAGTGTTCCATGAGGTGCTGAGAAAAGTGATACTTTTTTAAAGCAAAACACCCATATAGGGTGTGTCAAAACGCGAGGTTATAATTTTCTCAATTTTTTAAATGGAACATCCGGTATTAATTAATTGGTGGTATACCATACAGAGTATTCCATAAAATTGGGAAAATCGTAACATGTATACAACATAGCAAATAAATGAAGTCTATTAAAATTGTTTGACGATGTGAAAACAATCAAATATGTTTAACTACCTGCAAGGTGTTTTTCTTTAAAAAAGTATAGCTTTGGTCAGCATCTCGTTTATGGACCACTCTATATATTTAATGTTACTTGTTAAATATGGTCATACAACTTTTATATTAAAAATGTCTTCGTATTTCCAATAAAAAAAACAGCTATCGATCAATTACGTAATGATGGGATACCCTGTATATCTCTTATTGACTAACATGTTGGTATAGTTGGATAGGTACATTTATAATGAATTTTATGCTAAAATAATATACAGGGTGTTGCATTTGAAAAAATTGAGTAAATTGAACTTAAAATTAGCCACATTTAAGACATGTTTCAAAACACGTTGTATAAAATATTCCAGTTCTTTAACCATTATTTGTTATAAGTCTGTGTTTTTAACAATTTTTAAATCATTGTAAACCTACCTAAATTATGATAATTTAATTTGGGGTATCCATCATTCTCAAATTTCATACAAAAATTAATTGCTTGGCAAATATGTAGTATTAAAAAAAATTCTAGCGTTGAATACAGTATTACCAAAATATTCTAAAATGGAAATAAAATACAGGGTTGTTCAATTTAAAAAAATATACATTTTTATTTGCCAGGCAAAAACGCAACACCCTGTATATCCGAAAATATTTTAAAAATACGTATATTTTAAATCCATATATAACTTTTATTTGAAACCTGTTTGCGTGTCTATAACACAAATTAAAATATTGAACAATTACGCACTAATGGGACACCCTGTATAACGACAGTGCGTTAATAAAAATAAATCTTGTTAATAATAAATATATGACCCGTAAATAAATCATTGTTGACTACAATACATACATATTTTTTGTCAGTGTACTACTACTTATTACTATTTGAATTGTTAAAAATAAAAAATAAAGTGCATTGTAAGTTTAGTTTTAAAATAGTTTAGACATAAAGAATAATAACGATGTTATCAACGACCTAACTATTAAAAATAATCCTTGCCAAGCTTTTGTCCACTTAAACAACGTGTTGATAATTTACATGTACATTGAATTAAATCATCTGTAAAAATAATTTATTTGGTGGTATTTTGATTAAAACATATGTTTTTGTTTTGTATTTAAAATAAGAATTTTGTTATAAATGTAAGTGGAAATATACTTACAGTTTTATTACATTCTGATACAGATTATAATCGACGTTATGTGAGAACACAAAAAGACGTCGTCAACTGTATGAATTAAATACAAACTTTTATAAAAAAAACCTATGTAGCTAATCTATAATGGATACATTATGGTGTGCCTGAAGATCAAGTAGTTACTTTAAAACCATCACTAATTAAAAAATACCTTTGTTTCATCATAAAGGACCTTTTCTACCACTTACATCAGATTTAAAAGAAGTAGACAGTTATTGATCTTTATCCACCGCGGCCTTTTCAGATATATTGTGGGACGTAATTTAGAGTGGTTTTCTAGCTTGGTTAAAAATTGGCAGAGGACGTTAATTGATGTTTTCTCTTCTTCTTAACAGAACCTCCGTAACGTTGCTTGATGACACTTATGTATCTTCTAAAGCGATAGTGTTTGGTAAAAAGACCTTCTAGTATCCTATCAATTTGTCGTTTTTTATCCAGTAGATGTTTCGTGATCTTGGTTGACGGTTCGTCAATGAACTATTTGGCATGTCTTAATCCTGGATAGTTGTTTTGCCATTGTTGAGATTCTTTATGCACCCACTGCACGGATATACCTCCACAGAAGGGTTCAGGGCCTGGCATGGCCTTATCTGATCCTGAGATTAGTAACTTCGCCTTTGTTTTGGCCCTGCTATCACGGAGCCCGATATAAACCCAGGCTAAGATCAATTTCTTCTGACTACTTAACTGTGTCAGGTCATCTAGGCAGTCTTTTACCAGTCATGATTTGATTTCTGATGAGAGAATTGCCTTTAGAGATGCTTGGCTATCAGAGTAGCCAATAATTTGCCTGATATTTATTTCTATTGTACAGTGTTGTATGGCTATTGGTTCGACCTGGAACTATGTTGCGTATTCTCCTAGACTCGTTGTTTTCGACTTGGGTCTAAATATTTCAGCACCCACTCCTTCATTGATTTTTAAATCATTACACGAGATAAGTTCAGCCTGTATGGGATGTCCTTATTTCCAGGATTTTCGGGCTGGTATTTGAATTTGACTTTAAAAATTTCTTTCAAATTTATATGTGGTTATATTAGTAAATATTCCTAGAAACTTATCCTTTTTTACTTGCTGGTATAACTTTTTGTGGACAACGTTATGTAATTGACTTATTGGGTTTTGTGTCTAAATTTTCTGTAAATGACGGACGTGGTTTTCACTTGTATAAAGAGGTGCAGAGGCGTGAGGTTTGTTAGTATCTCCAGTCCTGTAGTTGATGTAGTACGAATGGTCCCTGTGGCACTAAGACAGGCGGTCAGCTGAATGTCGATAAGTTGGCCTATTATAATAACCTGCATAGTTTTGATTACCTAAGCCACTTTGCCGTAGGTTAACATGAGCTTCATCATACTTGTGTATAACCATAAGGTCACTTTGAGGCTTAGGCTCTAGTTTTCCCGCATATTCTTCTCAGCTCACAAGAGCTATTGCAGCTTTTTATGCAAGATTTTTGAAATGTTCATTCCACATCAGCCTTGATCAAGTATGACTCTGAGGTATTTGGCTTCTGTAACAATAGAAATAGCCATGTTGTTTAGTACTAGTTATCTAGACCTAACGAAAGGAACGGTTTCTTTGTAATTGATACATCTATTGTTTTTTGTGCGTAAATGGACAATTGATCCTTTTTGCACCAGTTGGCCTGCAGATCACCCCTGATGATAATTGTTGGATCGTCTGCGTATCCTAGGCTCTGGTAGCCTGCTTTGGACAATGTTTTGAGTAGCTCGTTTACTTCAAATTACCAAAACATTAAATACGTTATTCCTTCTTGTGGGCAGTCCAGTGTAACTTTTGCCTGTATGGTTTTCCTTTTCTAGAGTGGATAAAATGTTCTTATTATCTAGGCTAGCGTATTGTGAATGGGATGTTTTTCTTCTTTATTAACTGGTTTAGGTATTATTAAAATTAATTTGAAACATTCGCGCTTGAAAAATAACTTTGTGAGACAGGAAGGACTTTTTCTACCACTTTCTTAAGTCAAAAATAACTTTCTTCAAGGAGTGTATTAAATGTAAATAAGAAAATAGATTTTATGAAGTTTACTTCAAGTATTACACTAATATTATTGTTATATAATGTTATTTGTTATATTTATTAATTTCCTTTCAATTTTTCGGATCCCTTTTCGGATCCTGTATTGTAAAAATTATTTACATTGTTCGTTTAACACTAGCAAGTAAACTACTACTATTCTAGAGTTTTTTTTTAATAAATTTCAATTTACTCAATCTTCTTAAAACATAATATTTATGTGTATTTTTTATTACAGGCAAATCAGAAGACTCAATCTCAAATAACAACAAATGGCACTCGATGAGCCCTCAATCCTGTAACACCGCCTTGCTAGTTCATCAAGCTAACAAAGTTTTGTCCCAACCAAACCATCTTCAATCACACCACAACTCTCACGCAGCAGCTGCAGCTGCGGCTGCGCTATCGTCGCCTTTTACGTCACTGTTAGGAGCGACCGGTGGTGCGGCTTCTTATCTACTTGGTGATCATTTAAAGCCTGCAACGGCGAACCATCTATTCTAAGGAATCGTTTATATTAGGAATTTTTAGCGAAATTTGTGAAATTTGTCAATTTGTTGTAAAAAAAATAGTTATTAACCATTTTTGTTTTTATTTTATATTTATACAACTATTTTTGAGATGTTAAAATTGTTAAAAAATGTGAGGACACCTTTAGCAGAAAATATAAAATATTTTCTATTACACAAAATTATTTCAAACTTAGCCTTTTTCAAGGATATTCTCGAAATATATTGCTATCCCGTAAACTCAATCTAAGTAGGTTTTGAAAACCAAAATATCAGTACTGATTCCCGAGGTATCTAATAAAAATTAATTTGATTTCTTTATTTGACTACAGTATGTTTATTTTTAAAAATAGGCAATTTCTATCAAGTTGGGCATATGTTAGCGCATTTAATTATTTAATTCGACGTTTCGTAAATGCAGAAGTACCCATCTATTTCTCTATTAGAACATGGATAGGTGTTATTCCGATAGATCAATTTTATACTGAATACAATGATATAATAACATATTCGGATTGAACATCAGCTAGTACGGACCTATATCATGAATTATTTGAAATAAGCAACTACCTACATTTATTTATCTTTAATAATTTAATTAAAAAAAATCTTGTTACAAGGATGTTTTTATGGTTTTAATTCGGAACTGACTTAACATAGGACTCTAAAACACACAAAAGGCTTTATAAAATAGATTAAAGAAGTATATTTGCATTCTTAGTACCAGTTATCTGTTTTATGTCTTTTTCTGGTTGCAACTATTATTTTAAACCATTTATTTACAGTGAGGGAGTGAGGCAACCGTATAAAGCAGGAATCAAAGTAGTACAACTTGATTAACTCTTAAAACACGTTCTTGCATCTCAGATAAACAAACTCGCCCAAACCACCATCCCCACCCAATGTATCAACCGTCCCGCTCTTTCTAATGCGGCAGTCTATGCGACAGATCTGTCTGTCTTATATAATACATACTCTGTATGTTTTGAATGAATAAGGGCCTAATTATGAATACATGGAATAGTTTAGTTTCTATGTTAAGTGACGCCCATTTCGACCATTTAAGCTGACTGTGTTGTATTATTATCTGCCAGTTGTCTTATGATTGTCCTGTCTTTCTAAATATAGTTTTGTAGTACACTTAAGTTTTCAACGATGGGATTGACAGTGATATTTCTATAATTGGGTAATTGTAAAAATTTTTAAGTTTGCACATCATAACGCGCTTACGGTATAAGCGTAGTCAATGAAAGATGTAAGAACCCCTATGGTATCAATAAATTACGTACTTAGAATTAAAATTAGTCGAAGAGAAGGAAATAAAGATGAATTAATAAACGAAGGGTAATTGTTCACGTAGTCTAAGTAATGTTAGAGATGAGTGTATTGTATGATAAAAGTCCAGACGTCGCTATGAGTTCCAAGCTTAATGGTACCACCGTTGTTATTAAGAAGAGGAAATAAAGCCTTATGTGATGATCTTAAATCCAACAGGTCCCCAATGTAGCCGTCAATTTCCTTTAGGCGGCTAGTGTTAGGGAAGACATTATACTTGAGAGCTGTTAACCTGCAGAATGATTCTGCTGTTAATATCATCAGGCGGACCTTGTACATTTGCTGGACTATATCTTGAGAGGGAAACTCGTTGTCAATAAATTAAAATTTTGACCAATGGCACACTGTTTATTTAACTGAGAACATAAATTATTTACACGACAAAGTAGGAGTGCTTGTAGGAAATAACCCGAAACATGTTTTAGGTTTGACGGTGGAGTCTGTGTAAAGAGTTGAATGCTGAAGCATCTTTAATGGTCGAAGGTTAAAACTAGAGTGAATCTGCGAGAAAACAGAATTGTATCGTTGTAAGTGAAAGGGGGGAACTTGTCAATTCTTGTGTGTTTAAGGTGTGTTTAACTGGCAATCATACAACATCAAAAGTGGAATTTTGCTAGAATTATTTTATCTTTGCCGAGTCGGAAAGAGAGAAATGTTATTGTATTTTTACGAGTGGGGACAAGATGAGATTGTTGTTTGTAAGACAGATAATATGCATTTCGTGAATGCGTGGATTTAAACACAAATAGGTTGAACAGGGATGGTTTGCAAAATGTCATGTTTAAATTTAAGATTATGTTATGAAAATTAAACAACTGCAATATCCTATACGTAGAAATTGTTTGACTCTGTGAAAACAATAAAATATTGTATGCATACAGGGTATATGCATACAGGGTACCTATTTGGTTCAAAAAAATTTGGTTTACCTCCAATTTATGATATATTTAGGAATAATCGGAAAATATGATCGTACTAATTTTGTATCTCCAATAATAAAACAACTATCAATCAATTACGCACTGATGAGACACACTGTACATAAATAATAGGCTAACATGTTAGTATCGTTGGATAGGTAAATTCATAAAAATGTATATGCTAAAATAATATACAGGGAATTAGATTTGAAAAAAATTGTAAATTAAACTTAAAATAAGCCATATTTATGACGGGTTTCAAAACCAAGCGATTTTATTATCACTGTTCCTTAGCTTGCTATCTTACAAATCCAATATTTAAACATTATTAAAATCATTACTTACCTTCCTAACTTATAATAATTTTATTTGGGATTTGCCACATTCTCTAATTTTGCAAAAAAAAATATTTATTTCGCAACCTAGTAATAATTTTCGAAAATAATATAGTATTGAATACGAAATTACCAGATTATTCAAAAACTAAAATAAAATACAGGGCATTTCATTTAAAAAATATATGTTTTTATTTCCTAAAAATATATTAAAAGAATCCATTTTTCAATTCCATACATATAACTTTTATTTGAAACTTATTTGGGTGCCTATAATATAAATTTAAATATGGGACACTCTGTATACATAGGATCATACGAGCAACACCAAGCGTATTTTGCATTGAACAGAAACTCGTGAGTTGGTCCCATATATGAAAATAAACATTTCTAATGTTAAAATATTTTACCATTTAGGTAATTCCAACATGTGTTGTAAAGATTACAATCGCAGAATTAAACATCGCTGTTGGTGTTTAATATTCATAACTCATAAAACCAATAATACATCATTTATTAATTCAAACTTTTTTAACTAAAAAAATACAGGTCCATACTAGTAAACTTACCTGGCGATGTTCAAATCTTCTGACATGTTGACTAATTACAATGTTGTTAAATTATTATTGTATTTACCATTGAACAAACATTAAAATGATCAGTCGCTATAATAATGGTCTATATACAAATATAGAAGTAGATGGTGCCTCTGCATTTATGAAAAAAGTTAAATACGTTATCATATAAAACAAAAAGCCTTGAAGTAGTTTTTGTCTTTTTTTGAAAATATAGCAGGGAACGCATTACGCAATCTCGGTCCCTTCACATCGCAGACTGTGCTAGTCTCAACCGCGAGCAATACATATCTTTCCCATATATAGCATGAATTTCCACTTGGCGTTCCTGAGCTGTGCTCTCTCGCATCGCGTTCTCTTTCTTTTCCAAAGAATCTCGGGAAACCACGATGCTATCGAGACTGGCATAGTTCGCGATGCGACGGGATCGAGATTGCCTAATACTTTCCCTCCTTAAACATACTGTCGTCGAATAAAGAAATTAAGCTAATTTGTTTCTTATCGAATATCTCAGAAACCAGCTCTAGTATTTTGGTTTCTGGAACACCCTCAAATGGTGTCGGGACAAATGAGCCCCCGTACATTTTAACCCTCGATACATTTGAGACCCTCTCTTGATTTTTCGAATAATGATAAAATTTAAGTGAGCCAGTTGCGACCCACCCTTATTAATCCTATACAGAAGTAGATTTTTTGGTTTTCTGATTTATACAGGGTGTTTCAGAGTTAAAAGTATATACGTTAACTGCTAGTGTAAGACACTTGGATGATTCGAAATCACCCATTAATAATGGTTCTATCACATCTCATTACCTAGAATGAATTTATTAATTTCGCCTTGATTTTTATTTAGCCAAAATTCAACAACCATCATTCGGTATAAAAATTTCCAATTTAGCATGTAGAATCATTTCGATATTGCAAAAATATTGAAATAGAAATAATAGTTCAAATCCAGGCCCGGCGTAACAAAATTTGATCTTTTTTTTTTCGTTTCGAAAACAATACCCTGTGTAACCAAATTTATATCTGATTACATATTTGAAAATGGCTGAAAAAAATCGATTTAGATAAGTGCCTTTTAAATACCCTGTATAACTTTTCTTCACTAAGATATTTTCTGCTTTTTCACAATTAAATATCAGTATTATTAATAAATATATTACTCATTTGCTTCCGGGAAATGAAACATAACATTATCAGATTCTGTAATGTGTTGCTTAGCAACCTTGTTTTTATTTTAGGAACAATTACTTTTTTACTTTATTTCAAACCGAAATATTTCGATCTTACCTATTTGACAGTAAATAGCAATCATACTTAACTATGGAAACAATGGCTCAATATCAGTTAAGGTAATGATGTAAAATTGCTATTTTTTTTTTTAATTTTAATCAACATCTATTTATTCTTTTTAAAAAGTAGGTATTATAAAGACAGGATGAAATAAAATATCATACGATACACGTCCGTTAAGTGTTATTAGAGTACTCGTTTATATACAACTCATACTGTAATAAGTCACCTACCGTAGCTAACGTACCTAACGTACCTAACGTAAAATACTGTTACAGTTTTTTCATTATTTGACGTCTGTTTCGGTTATGCATTATTAGTAGGCATTAGCAGGTAACCCATTAATAAAAGTAGAGTCGCAACTGTCTCACTTATATTTTATCATTATTCGAAAAATCAAGAGAGGGTCTCAAATGTATCGAGGGAACAAATGTACGGGGGCGCATCTGTCCCGGATTCCCTCAGATTGGGCTTTGAAACATACAACTTTACGGTTCATGAGATAGCAATATATTTTTAATTAAAACATGTACAGTTTTTATTGGGCATTTGACCAACATTTTTAAAAATATTCTTTGAAATTATTTTAAAAATAAATACAATTATTTTTTTTTACAAAATTGACAAATTTTTGTTTTAATATGAGTGGTTTTAAACAAGAGTTTGCGAAAACATAGTTAAGAAAAGTCCGTCTGTGTTGTCGAAGATAACGTGTTATACGAAAAAATATACGACTATAAAAAATATTTTAACAATAATTTATATTCATTAATTGAAAATAACTACGTGATCCTAATGATCTACAAACATAAATACATAATTATATATTTTATTTTATTTATTTACTTGATTAAAATATTGTTGATCATTTTATAAAACTGAAACATAACGGAATTCAAAATATGTAAATAATTAACATCCAAAAGAAATATTGTATACTTTAAAAATCCTTAATATAATAAAGACTGTATATTTGTAAATATCCATTTAAGTATTTTCTGGATTATGTAACTATCAATAAATGTCGAATCAAGATGTTACCATCACTGATACAATTCTCCTTCTAGTCCACTAATGTATAAGTTTTTGTGTAAAAATAAAAATTGTGATTCATTAAATAGTTTATTTTTTTTCTTAAACACCTCACAACTGTTTTTACTACGTTATTACCCATATCCACTCTTGATACTATAATACCGTGGATAAGAAAACTAAGGGTGAGATTACAGAACGTCTGCAACTTTGCAGATCTGCAAATATAGCGGCAACTTTGCAGATCTGCAAATTCGAAATAATTATTGTGGTTTATTACCTCCAACAACACTAAACCCAAATCCATTATGACACCATGAACTGTATTCAATCAAAAGAAACAAAAGACTTCATGGTTGTAGAATGTTCTAACCTTCTTGAGGGTGGATTTGGATTTAGTGTTGTTGAGGGTAATAAATATTGCAAATTTGCAGATATTTTTTGAATACTTGCATCTGTAAGTCCGCCATATTTGCAGATCTGCAAAGTGGCCGCCATATTTGCAGCTCTGCAAAGTTGCAGACGTTTTGTAATCTCACCCTAATAAAATTA